TTTTTTTTTTTTTTTGCTTTTTGCTCAAGTTGAACTGGAGCATTGATTTGGCTGTGCTTTTGTCATCGTTAGGATATCGGCAATTATTCTACGCAAGGAAATTACTAATCACAAGGAAATGTGCCTGAAATTCTAGGATTACCCTTTTTTTTTATTTCCAGATTTGTTTTGCTTCTTTTTTCTTTGGTTTTTGGGATAACACCGTGAAAAAAAATGGGAAGCTGATTTGACGGTTCAGTATCTTATTATTTACGTCAAGAAAAAGTGCATCTTGTGAAATTGTGGGTAGACGATGAAATAGGGTACCCATTATTTTGGTTGCAGAACCAAAATGCTTAAAACTGATCAACTAAACTTATAAGAAATTCATATACTGAATAGTAGGATTTCCGATCAAATTCGCTTTACTGTCTCGACGGCAGTACAGCCGACGTCCAAACCTTGTCCGTGAGGAATTTCTACCACTTTTTAAAATGGTAAATAGTCCTAATGAAACGTCTTCACCTCGTGCAGTAGTAAAAACTCGGACAGCGTTTCCAGAAACCTGGATTTGGTCACTGGTGACTTCAAAGTACGTCTGCCTTAATAAACTTTCTCCTGTAACATCACCTGTGTTTTTGACGTATTTCTAAACAATACCCGAGTACAGATTTTGCTTAACAAAACATCAGACGTTTTGATATCTTATTTTCAGTTTTTTAAAGTATATTTTTAATTGTAGGTCTTTCTTTATCTGTATCAGCTAAAGTAAAGCTTATTGAGGACGGCATAAATGTCATAACTTTTAAACGGTTTTATTTTCTTTTTTATTGTTCTTATTATGTTATTTCTTTTTTATTGTTCTTATTATGTTGTTTCTTTTGTTTTGGTAACTTTTGGAAGACAATCAAATTTATTAATTTGTAATACATTTGTAGAAAATTGTTTATTGAGAAAAAGATGCTGTTTTTTGTAGTTTTAGCTTTCTTATTTCTGCATTTTTTAAAAAATGAAAAATTTTTTTAAAAAAATTTTTTTCATTTCTAGAAACATTTCTGCAGAGACTTTTAAACTTTTTTGTAGAAAACCGTGTTTGATCTTTATTATTGCGGTTTAGCAATAAGTAATGCTTTTCATTTACTGCTGTTTTTTGGGCGGAACTGAAGTTTGCCCTAAAGAAGTAATTTTAATTTCAGAGTTCTATCTTTGCTTCTACTTACTGCTACTTTTTAAAGCAACCGCTAATAGGAAACTTTGTAAACGTCTTCTCTTAAAACTAGTTAAACTGTGTGCAAGTGTTGTATTTTTGCTAGAAGAGCTCTTTATCGGAGTACATCAGCTGTATGTTTATCACATTTGTGTGCAGAGTA